CAAACACAAGTATTTCAGATAAAGAATAATCAGCTTACCAGCAATTCTTATCACTTATTAGAGGCAATAAGTACTACTGACATGAGAGATTCATTTTGAGGATTACATAAAATAATGTATGTGAAACACATAGCTAATCTTTCCTTCTGCATCTTTTTTTTCCCTTTTCTATGTCACAGTTTTGCTCAGTGGTGGATTTACTTCTAATCTGTTAGGAGCTAGGAAATCAAAGTTACAGGAAAAGTAAGATTTTTTTCATTAGAGAGGATAATGGTTTGATATTATTCAAACTCCAGTCTATATGCTATGTGAAGAGTTCATATAACCTTTCCAGGCTTGAACATTTAATCCTGATTTTAGAGACATCATGACGTTGGCGAAAAAAATGTGCCTAATTCTACTCTGACATTTCCCACAATGGTGCTTTCAAATGTTTCCCAACAAATATAGCCTGTAATCTGCCCTTTCCTAGAACTTCATTTGCTTCATGGGAAACCACAAGATTAAAGCCATGTGGGAGTGTGTTCCCAGATTCCCACAGTGTCACTTCCCAGTCACGTGTTTACTGGTTGCTTTTCTTTCACTTTGTACTAATTCTTTGAATCCCTTTCAGCCTCTCCTTCCTAGCTTATTAGAAAAAATATATTGTATTTATTTTTTACAGATCCAACAGACCAAGTACAGTGCTATAGTTTCACTCAACAAATTTGGTGAGTACATAGGTGATTTGGAGGTTGAAGCCAATGCAATAACATTTTTCAAGTCTAAGTGGGAGAATTAGAATGTGAATGTAAAAATGTAGGGTTTTTGCTGACTTTTAAACAAGTTCTAGAGAATCAAAGAGAAGTCTAGAGTTTAGCCCTAATACTACTTTAGATGGAGAATAAAGGAGCATTCAGATATGGCTCAGTGCTAGAATACCTGCCTAAAAGGGAGGGAGGTAAATTAAAAAGTTTCTGCACAGCTAAAGACATAGCAACCGAACTAGAAAGACAGCCAACTAATTGGGGAAAATATTTACCAGCAATATATCAGACAAAAGCCTAATAACCATTATATACAGGGAACTCAAGAAACTAATCCCTACCAAACCTACCAAACCAATTACTAAATGGCAAGGGAACTAAAGAGACACTTCTCAGAAGAAAAGATTAAAATGGCAAAGAAACACAAGAAATCTTCATCATACCTCGCTGTAAAGTAAATGCAAATAAAAACAACCCTGAGATACCACCTTACTCTAGTCAGAATGGCCCATATCCTAAATTTAGTGAACAACAATGCTGTAGGGGATGCAGAGAGGTACCCTACTGCACTGCTGGTAGGAATGTACACCTATACTTCAGAAAGCAGTTTGGAGGTACCTCAGAAAGCTAAATATAGACCTCCCCTATGACCCAGCCATACCACTCCTAGGCATCTACCCTAGGCACCCCCATGTTCACTGCAGCACTATTCATAATAGCCAAGATATGGACACAACCCAGATGTCCCACTACAGATGAATGGATCCAAAAATTGTGGTACCTATATACAATGGAATATTATGCAGCCATTAGAAAGGACAAAATAATGGCATTCACAGGAAATGGATGGAACTAGAAAAAAATCATTCTGAAGTAAGCCAAGAGCAAAGAGAGAAATAGCACATGGTCTCCCTGATATGTGGATGTTAAATCCAAAATATAAGGCGATACAATAAAGTAAACAGACTCGAGAAAAAAAGGACCTCCACTCATCTTGTCGTATCACTACTAAATGACCCCATGTTGTTGACCACATATATGATATATATATATATATATGATATGTGCACACATCTGAGTGAAGCTTGGAGGAGGACACAGAATCAGAGGGAAATGGGAAAACAAAACAGAGGGCCCATCAGCTGCACTGGACATCGATGAAAATGAACTAAGCAAACTCAAGGGCATTGATGGGAGGGAGGGAATGAGGGAAGGAGGGAACAGTTAACACTAAGCAAAAGGAAAGAAATGTACATACCACCCACTGTGGAAGAAATAGTTGTATTGTCAAAGCTCATAGAATTCACAAATTTTATAGACCACGATAATAATAATTTGCTTCATGAAGGTTAGAATGTTTGTGACTTTAACTAAGTATCACTATCTCACAATACTGTGAAATTTATGTAATCATTTAATCACAATAAAAATTATTTTAAAAAAGAGGGAGGTAGGGAGGGATGGAGAGGGAGAGAGGGAGGTATAAAGAAACTGACGACTTATTCCATTTTTAATTATAATAACAAAGTATCTAGGGTTAATAGTTTATCCAAAAAAGAGTTTTATTTAGCTGGTTTAGAGGCTGAAGGTGTAAGATGGATCAGTCCCTTTGGTTGAATTTGTAGGGAGGGCCTTCTTGGCTCATGACATGAAGTGAATGTCTGAGCATAGGAGCGAACATATGGTAAGACATAGAGCCAGAGAAGGATTCAGGGGTCAGGCTTACTGTTTCATAAAAACTCACTTTTAAAAGAACTAATTAGGGGCCCATTAGAACTAAAGGCAGTGGCCCCAGGGCCCTGACTAGCTCTTTTCCATTAGCTCTACTTCTGAAGTTTATACCATTGCACCAAAGACTAAGCCTCTAACACATGAATCCAGGGGGCCAAAACACATCCAACACATAGCATCACTTCAATCATCTGATAGATGAAGGCACCTGGACAGGTAGGCCAAGGCTCTGGAGTGTGACCTCTCATCCTCATATTCATCTCTCTTCCTTCCTTTAGAGACTCCAATGTATCACTCTCTGTTTACTCCCCTGCTTTTACTTCTGCGTTTGCTTCTGCTTCTCCTTGTCAGTGTGTTTCACAATCTACATTTTCTGAAAAGAAATAATGGGATTAGGCCATTTATGAGTTAATACCGAGGACATTTCATACCTGAATACTGCCAAGTTGGCAGTAGGAACCATAATGACCTCTTCAAGATCTGATTGTTGACCGCAGTCTAAATAGTGTGTCCAAAGTACACGAGACACTACTGCTGGCAACCAGTGTTGAAATAACTGTTGCTGGCTTCTGGAAGGAACTGCTAGGTAGTCAGGATTCTACCATTGTCATACACACCTGGTTTTCTTTGAAATCTTAAGGTGGAATGCAGCTAGGTGAGCCAGGTTGAGGTTTAGTGAGTAAAAACATAGAATGTTAAATTTGAATTTCAAATATATAACAAATAATAGTGGACATACTTTTGTGCCATGATGTTGTGAATTGTGCTGATAGTTCTTGTACTCCAGGCATAGTATCAATTTTTCATAGCAGGATAAACAGACTTAGAAATAGCTTAGATGTTGAGAAAATATGAAAATGTGGAGTAGGAAAGATTAACTATAAAGGTAGAGTTTGGGACAAATTTCTAGGAGAAAGTGGGATTTAATCTGGGTCTTGTAAGGAAGGGTAGGTAGAACTTAGCATAGAAATATGAAATACTTCTCTTTCTTTCTTTTCTTAGTGGTGGGGCCTGAAATCCTTCAGCTCTTCAGCTCAAAGCTAGTGCTCTACCACTTGAGACACAGTGCCATTTCCAGCTTTTTCTGCTTATGTGGTGCTGAGGAATTGAGCCCAGAGCCTCTTGCATGCAAGGCAAGCACTCTACCACTGAGCCACCTTCCCAGTCCGTCCCCCTCCCCCCCCCACACCCACACACTTTTTTTTTTAAGTTAAAAGGAGCATTCTAAATAAAAGTATCAATGGGATGAATGTAAGGGATACAATAATTCAAGCTGGTATGAATGGAACTATGTTAATGAGGGAGTTTGACCAGGGAGTTGAGTATAGATGGCTTCTCATTATAGGTGGAAGATTTATGATTATCACGAAGAATTTGGACAGAAACCAAAAGCAGGTCTGTGTTTTAGGTGATAATAACTAGAAAGGTCAACGCTGAAAGGCCGGGAGACCATTTTAGGAGTCCAGGACTGTCTAAGGGTTGTCTTGCAAGAGGGAAAGGACACATGGAAATGGTTTTGGTTAAAATGTTATTTATCAAGTCAGTGATCAAGGCAAATCACCATAACCTGAGTGTCATTATATTTTCTGTGAACAGTTAGACTTAAAAGTTGGGAGAGAAAAGTAACCTTGTGCAAACATACCTCGTGGGAGGTTATTCCTCAAGAAAAGATACACACACACACACACACACACACACACACAAGTATCTTCCTTATTCTTCATTGATAAAGGCTGTGGGCCTTTAATTTTTATCTTTGTCCTTCCCCTTAACCAGGCTGTTCCTCAGTCACTGGTTTTGCTTGTTGAGTTTTCTCAACTGGGCGCCTCACCAGGACTTCTGAAAACAGCTCTGGGTAACTCTGCCTCTGGGAGTCTTTGTGTTCATTAGGCCCTCAAAAAGACCTATGAACTAAAGTAGACATGGGGGGGACAGGGGTGGGTGCTGCGATTGGGCTGGGGGCAGCGCAGCCCGCAGGTGCCCACTGGCCAGCCCAGCTCCGGCCCGGCCCTAGTCACGCCAAAGAGGCGTCCCACCCTCCCCTGCGGCAGGCAGCGGCCTCCCCCGCCCTGCGCCCTGCGTGAGCCGCGGGACCGTGAGTCTACAGGACTCACTTCCAACTCAGACACAAAATCCCCCTCCTCCAGGCCTCTAGGGCTCGTTCTCGGGAAGTCCTAACTTCTTCCCTGCTTCTTTGGCCCTTCTTCCTTCCTGCTCGGATGAGTAAACAGCGCGGGTTTTCCAGAAGCGGGCCGGATGGATGGGGACAGGGAGGCGGAGGCAGAGCTGGGCGGTGCGCGTGGGTTGTGGGGTGGCGAGGGGGTGGGGACTCCACGAACTTTGTAATTCTGCCTCGGGAACCCGCCGTGACAGTACCGTGGGCGCTTTGAACAGCCATCTCAGACGAGGAGGAGAACTGCTGCAGAATCGCCGCCCGCCCCTTCTCCCCACCGCGCGCGCAGATTACTAAAACCTCCCCAAGCTGCCCACCGCCCAGGACCGAACGACACGTGTCCTGGGGCCCGATGGAGCTGCTCAGCCTCCCGGGCCTGGTCCTCGCTGCGGCCCTGCTGCTCCTCATCCTGTATTTGCGCACCCGGCGCACCAGGTAAGCGCGCCCAGGCTGCCCTGCCTGGGCTACGCATGCGCCTGGGTCCCCTGCGCCACCCAGATGGAAAGCCAGCCCGGCCCCCTCCAGGTTTGGCAGCTCAGACATAACTCTCGCTCCAGGCCACTGGCATCTTTTGGGAGCTTGTGGAATCACAAAGGCGACTCCCCTACACTTAGGTATTCATATTAAAGGTTTGGGGCCCAGTTGGATTTGGAGCTTAAGCACAGGTTGTAAAATCCCTTAGGTTGGCCCTAGACATTATTCATCATGCCTGTGGCTTTTGCATGCTATTGTGTATCCTGTTGCTGCTGCTGCGTGTGTCGATGCTTTATGGCCTAGAATTCATGGAACCCTGTAGGAGAGGAATTTGCTTACATTTCATTCAGTTAAAAGATTTCCAGGAAATCTGATGCAGGATATAAAAACAACTCAGGGTTCTACCTTGTGCCTCAGTTTACCTGACTGGACTTCATCTCAAAAAAGAAATGAAATAACAGAACTTTCACGTTGTGGAAATTTTGTGAGAAGTAAATGGGGTAATAGTGTCTGTTTATGCCCATGGCCTATTGTTGTTGTTTTTTTTTTAACCTAGCAATTCATCAAAATTCAGAAGTGTCACTATTTGTCTAATTTGAAGCTTGGAAGTGGAATTCAAATACAATCATTCATTTTAAGTTTTTTTTCTTTCCGTCCTTTAGTTTTTATCACTTTTAAAAACTAAACAGATACATTTTTAGTAGATAGCAATCATTACTTTAATTTATATTCACAGTATATATACATATCAGCACATATGCATGTGTGATATGGGTTGTTTTTCATTGATTTGGGAGACAGTGGAACTATTGTGCTTCATACAAATATCTGTCAACATTCTCTTAAATTCCCGCTGTTGAATAGGATAAGTGTATTGCATTTCCTCCCATATGAGTTTTCTGATCTTTCTAGAATGTGCAGCAAGCTCTCAGGTTGTATTCTCTAGGAGTTGTGATTTTGTCTGAGCCACCAAGAAGATTAGGGAACGAGGGTTATATGATTCTACCTTCTCTATTTTCAGTGTCAGTTAAAGCTAGTTAAGATATATTCCTAATGGAAAGACTTGGAAACAATTATGTTAAGTGAAGTGAGTCAGGCCCAGAGAGACAAAGCACACATGTTTTCCCATACATGTGGAAGCTAGATTTAGCTCACAAATTTATTATTAAATATGTTGGAAGATTCACAAGTATATGCAGAAATGTTAACTGAAATGTGATATAAATAAGTTCAAGGGAGAACTTGGTGTTCTTGCTTCTTCATCTCTTTCTTTCCCTCACCTCTTCTTGCTTTTCTTTCTCTTTCTCTCCCTTCCTTCCTTCCTTCCCTCCCTCCCTCCCTCGCTTCCTTCCTTCCTTCCCTCCCTCCCTCCTTCCCTCCCTCCCTTCCTTCCTTCCTTCCTTCCTTCCTTGGAATTGAGGTCTTGGGGGCAATGTCAGGCAAACCTTGTACTACTAATGCCATGTTGTGAATGTTTATATCCTCATGCTATCCCCATCAATTCAAATGTTGAAATCTTATCCTCAAAAGTGATCATGTTAGTTTTATTATGTGAGGACCCTGTATGTAGGTTGCCATCTATGAACCAGATAACAACCTTCACTGAACTCTGAATCTACTGATGCCTTAATCTGGACTTTTTTTCTGACTTTCAAAATGGAGAGATATTTTTTTTCTTTCTTATAAGCCACCTAGTTTGTGCTATATTGTTATAGTAGCTCATACACACTAAATGAGAGTCAAACTATCAACCCATGTCTCCCCAGCAACAGCTGAGATTTGTTCAGTCTTATAATAGATCCCTTTCCTTGGGCTTTTGAAAGGCTTTCCTACAGATGTGCACTTCAGGGTTGGCCAAGAATTTGAGGGTTGTTTATATGCAGATTTGGAGAATGTTTTCTCCTTATTTAGATTTATTTCCTAGATTTCCAATCACTTCATAAGCCTCAGTTCTGTCATCTCAAGTAGTATTCTGGGTTTTTGTTTGGGGTATTGTTGTCTACAAGATTCATTTGACATGGATTTGTTCTTTAAAAAGGTTTCATCCCTTCTATTATATACATTCTCTTCTATTTTTTGTAAATATAGATTACACACACACACACACACACACACACACACACACACACACGTGTATGTTAGCACACACTTTTTTGAGCCATGCTACAGCCTATAATAAAAAGCTATTTTTCAGATAGGGTCTCATTTTTTGCCTGGATCTGGCTTTGGACCATGACCCTCCTTATGCCTCTTTCCTAATTAGGATCATGTTGTGTTATGCCTCTCTTGTTTAAGTGAGTTTTACTAACTTGTTGCCCAGGCTGACCTTAAAATATGGTCTTGCTGATATCTACCTCCCGAATACCTAGATCATAGTCATGAGCCACTATGCCTGGCTTGAATGTCTACTGGCTTTTCTTCTTGATCCTATTGTCCTTACCTGGCTGCATTATCAGTTACTTTCCAAGAGTTACTCTTGAGCCATTGTAAATAATTCTCATCAGGAAGTCTTTAAGGTGCTACTGTTTATCTAATCTGTTTACGAAAGATCTTTTATTTCTTCTCAAGTTAGCTGTAATGAGCTGCTTTTTTTTCATTCTTTCTTTTAATTTTCACCTGTCAAAGATGGCTTCTTTGGTAAGTAAGTGAAAAAAAATCATAAAACAAAATTAAAAAGGTGATAAAACCTAAGTTTGTATATTATTACATTCAGCAGATACAGATTTATTCTATCAAATTGTTCTAAACGTTTTTAAGATGTTTACTCTTAGGTTCTGTGCTTATCATTTTGCAGATGGGTGATTTAAACAAAACAAAACATCAGCAAAAAATAACCAGTCCCTGGTTGTGTCACACAGGATGATATGTTGCATAACACTAATCTTTTGAACGATTGTTCCAGTCTCATATCTCTGAGAAAATCCTTGTTGGGCAGCAGGGGTTTTTCATTTGTAACTGAGGGCTGACCAAGTCCAGAATGCTGAAATATCATAGGCAGTCTGGATTTGAAAGTTAGAAGACAGTTTGCATGCATATTTGATGTTCTTGGTACCACTCAAAGACCTGTTTCTCCTAGGTACTGGTTCAGAGAAAAGAAGAAACAAAGAATAAAAGTAAGAAACAAGATTAAAATTCTATTTAGATCAGTTTGAGTCCAAGGAAAAATTCAGTGACTTTTGTTTTGAGTTGTAGGTTATATAGATAATGGCTTATTTGAGATATTGATTTGTTGATATTATTGCTTCACACAATTATTTCTCCTTTCTGATTATAGTCATCTTTCTCTATTGATCAGCGATTTATCCCAGATTCCCTTGCATATCAGACACTGCTATACTCAAATCTCTTATATAAAAGGATAATACTTTGAATCATGCCTAGATTGCTTACTATACCTAATACAATGTAAATACTTATTATATTGTTCAGAGAATAATGGCAAGGTGAAACAGATGTGCACCTGTTCAGTACAGATGCAATTTTTTTTCCCCGTTGTGGGGCCTGAACTCTGGGCCTGGGCACTGTCCCTCAGCTCTTCAGCTCAAGGCTAGTGTCTACCACTTGAGCTACAATGCCACTTTCAGTTTTCTGGTGGTTTATTGGAGATGAGTTTCGCCCACTTTCCTGCCCAGACTGGCTTTGAACTGTTATCCTCAGATCTCAGCCTCCTGAGTAGCTAGGATTACAGGCATGAGCCACTGGCGCCCAGCCAGATGCGATTTTTTTTTTCTGAATGTTTCAGATCTGCAAGTATGAATCCACAGATACATAACCTAAGGTTGTGAATGCCCAACAGTACTTAATGACTCCTACACAAGATCTTGGGTGCTCTAGATCCATTGTATTGTTATCATCACCTATGGGATAAGGAGAGCTAGGCTGCCACCATTAGTGAATAGCTTTATTTTTCTTTTCTCATAATAAAATATAGGTAAAGAAGGTCAAGTCAAGTCATCTTCTATTTAAGATTGTGTCAAGATCAACAGATGGGACTTTGTGTTTTTACAAGGGAGGTGTTAGAGAGTTCTCTGGGTACTATAGTAGCTTTTGGTTAAATTGCTTATCGATTAATACACTGTACTAAAATTCCTCTTGTTAAAGCCAGGGTTTGAATTAGTGGTATTACCATTTCATCCTGATTTCTGTCCTTCTTTACTAGTCTATTTTGTTACAACCTCTTAAAAAAAGAGAGTGTTTTGGATAGTGATGGAGGAAGATGATGTTCCTGAACAAAAATATTTTGGTGATTGACCTAATTTTCTTGGCCACTGAAGATAACCAATTAATTAGTCATGAAATATTCATTCATGCCACTTGGACCAACACTGAGGATTGCTAAATTCTATCATCACATATTTCTGATAAATCCCAGAAACCCTTGCTATATCAAAAATCTGTTGGTTGTGTATCAAACATTTGAGAAAATCATTCTCAGGAGTTTTGTTGAGTTAGCCTAAGCTTTTTATCACTATTGAAATGAAATCTTGAAGTGTTAACCTAGTTACATGGGTGATGGGTTACTTAATCCACTTTGGCTATTACAAGGAAATATAATAACTTGGATGGCTTTCAAACCAGAAAAGTTTATCTCGAGTTCTGCAGAGTTAAAAGTCTTAAGACAAAGGTGCTAAGAGATAATGGTGTTCTTTTTTTAAAAAAATTATCTTCAAATAGTTACATAAGGAATTTTAATTCAACATGTCAGTTTATGAGTACACTCAGGATTTCCGAGAGTATGACAAAGGAAAATAGAAATGGGTCCAACTTTTTCTAATGTAGTGCCTCATTTAATCTTTGCTATTTGTTCAAAATCAGAAATGAAATGGGGATTAATTATTTTGCCTTAGGTAAAGCTTACCTCAGGCATGCAACTGGGTTTTTGATTATAGATCTACTCAGAATATGATAGAATAAGTCCCTCTCGACTCCAGAGATATCACATATTCTTTATAACCTATGCA